TTCCCATTCAGTCATATTATTTTGGACGGTATTTAAGTGCTCGATATCTCAACGAATTTGATTTTGTGTAGTTGCTTGCTTGCTTTCAGAATCATGGTAGGAACGGTGGTGGAAAACCTAAGTAATCGGAAACTTCTCTATATCTTGGCATCACTTCTAGTCACACAAATTGCTTTCTTTTTGGTTGGAGCATGGTATGGTGAGTAATTTTCATTTCGCGGTAGTATGGTGGAGATTTCGGCACTGCCTTGAGGTGTGATAGAGTGGCGATATTCGAAAGAAGGTTGAAGGTAGATGACAGGAGGACTAAGCCCAGGGGCCGTAAGGTATGCTTCCCCGAAGGGTTGGGGGACGAAAATCCCTTTAAATTTTCTCTGTCTTCCCAACTGGGATTGTCCTGATAAAGGGCCTACATTTAATATATGTGTGTAGGTTAAAGTAAACATGCATTGAAAATGAAGAAACAGTATCGTTCAAAACAAAAAAATTTAAAGGGATTTCGTCCCCCAACCATTCGGGGAAGCACAGCTCACGGCCCCAGGAGATGAGCGAAACGTCAGGGAGAACATGCTCATGTCCTCTCCCAAAATCCTTTCCCTTGTCTAAGGCTTAGTCCCAAGTGTTGTAATTGGCTCACATGAGTGTCTCAGCTACGTGAGCGCCAAGAATTTGCTTGGAATGGCTTTGAAAATTCCTAAAACCTGCTTTTAGCACCTGTACCATCGTCTTCCATGGAGTACGAGATGATAAAATGTAAAGATGGAACTAAAGGAGAAAGTGGCAAATGGTTCCATATACGACCGAGAGTAGGTTAACCGAATTTGATTCAATGTTACAGCAGAGATTTTATTGACATTCGTTAAAATAATTCGTGTTTTCTTCATTATCTGTTCTTCAGCATTGTGATGTGATTGGAGATCTCTCATCGTATACGCCCACATCATTTGATCTGCGAGAAATTGTATTCGTCGCTCAAATGCCACACATGAGGTTAGCGGAGTAAACCGTACGATTTTTTCGTTTGAATTACACATATTCCTGCAATGCATTGCCATTTATGTAAAGAGGCACAGTGTTTCTTCTGTTTTTAGGGAAAGGATTCAGCTCGAATATTCGCCATGGTTCAGTGTTCCATGCTTGGAGCTTCTTCAAGTTGAAGGTCGAGGACAGCGATATTTTTAAATACGGTATTTATTGCCACTTTCGTTTCTGACTTTATTATTTTTTTTTTGTTTTTGCACTCTTCCAGCGCGTTTGTGCCTTTGTTTGACTGGTGAACTTTGTTAGAGATCTACCTCGTAAGGAAATACATACGGATCATGCATATTTGTTACATAATGACGTCATCATCGAATACTCTGTGGAGGACTTAGGTGAGCTTGATTTTGGAGCGAGTAGAAGGAAAATTACTTCGACAAAGCTTTGGAACCCAATTTCTTTGTACTTTTAAGCACGTATCTTTTCAGTGGATGGTGCTCTTCTAGAGCTGGAAATAAGGATGGGATATCGTACTAATACTGATGCTGCAGATGAGTGGCACGACCTGATAACTACTAATATTACTCGGACCTTGGAGTGCAGTATCTCCCCGGAAAAGGTATGCGCTTTGCTTTTCCTAAGTGATTCCTTCGTGGAAAAAAATTACATGTGACCGTTTCTTTGCTTATGTTAAGAAATCTAATGGACACATGTATGACTGTGGAGTGATTGATCTCTTTGAAATGGGATCGAACAACTACCCATTTTATTTGCTGAATGTCAGGATTCCAATTAACCAGACAGCCTGCGCGTGAGTCTCAGCTGATGGCTGCATTTTTTGAATTAGATCATTTTTTTGAATAAGTTACAGGGATTTAATCCTACAATTTTCAGCGCTAATCCAAAGAGTCCGAATTGTCAAATTGGGAAAGTCACGAATCTGCGAGTAGTGGTGAGTATAGCTTCATTTTTTTCAAATTCATGTTGAAGGACAGTGTTTTTTGGAACGGTTCTAGCGATAAACCATCGTGAATGCGAAACCTTTTTTTCCAGACAATCCATCAGAATGGTGGATTTACTCAAATATGGTTATGGCTGAAAACACTTGTTTTTCCAGTTGTTGCTGCAGCTATCTGGTGGTATTGGAACAGGGTTAGTAATGCAAATTTCTTTTTTGTATATATTTAGTAAACAATTTATCCTGAATTCAGATTGAAAAACTGGCAAGGAAGCCTATATTGCTTGAAAAAGCAATAATGACTCTTGGTGTGAGCCTGGCAGTACTTGACTGTAAGTAGAATTTTCAGTGCATATTTTTTTTCTCGTTTTCACGTTTCTGTGCTTCAAATCTTGAAATTTTCTTTCGTAGAGGATGACATCGCAGAGAGAAGGCGTTCAGAACCTGGTACTGTTTTCAAAATGATTTTTTGCGGTCGCTTGGAGGCGGTCATCCATGGAGCACAAGAATTTAAGAAATTTCAAAAAAAAAATCCGCGATGGAAGAAGGGTTTACTTGCGAAGCCTTCACTGTGAACCCTTACCCCCTTCTCACCACTCAATTTTTTGATGAACATCTGATAGAAGTTCACTTCTTCCTTTTATACTTGAAGGTCGATGCACCGTTAATCAGCTTGTAGAGGACTTGAATAGTTTCAATTTCCCTACGCCCATCCTCTGGTGAAATCGGACCTGCTGTGGGCAAGCTTCTGGTGAAAATGTTTTCATTACCAGGAATAGGTGTCTTTGCGAAGGTGCATAATTCCTTCTGGACATTTTCATATTTGAGGTAGAGATGCATTTGCCAGTTGTCTGTAGAGTTGTTTTATTGACATTGTCACCTCATGATTACGCTCGATTTCAGTTCCACTAGAGTGGGTGTCACTTATTCTCCGGGTGCCATTTATGCTGCTTCTTGGAGATATTCGACAAGGAGCTTTTTACGGAGTCCTTTTTGCGTTTTGGTTAATATTTGCCGGCGAGCATCTTATCGACGATTCATCGAGAAATAATATTGTGAGTTATTTGAATCAATATCCCCTTTGTGTCTTGTAGTTACCTCCTTTTTCGCTCATTATGAGCAAAGTTGAAAGGAAAATTACGACTCATTTTGTAATCTTGCTTGAACACCTCGATTTGTGCCAAATTGACATATGCGTGCTCTCATGTTCCATACCGTTATAGGCATCATATCGCTTTAATCTGTTCTTCATCGTGGTGGCGTCTTCATTGTTACTAATCTACGACATTTGCGAGAGGGGTTTCCAACTGAGCGATCCTTTCTACAGCATATGGTCGAGCGAAATTGGTTCTATTATCGCTGTAAGCCTACTTTTACTGCTCTACTCTTACTTTAACTTTGTTCACCAGAGAGAGCCGGAAACTGACGTCATCTTTTAACTCAATTATTTTTCAGAAACTTTTCCTGAACCCGGCTTCTTTGTGCCTAACTAATGTATGCTATACGAAGTTATTACGTGGCAAGATATGGAGGGTCTGGTTCACCATAAAGAGCAAACGCTCCGCACAATTATACAAAAACTGCGAAAATAGGCGTCTGAAGGTACTAGTACGCTGCTATATCCTCAAAATTGCTGGACTTCTTCATTCAGTTTAGGTCGAGTCTATTATATACCGTTTTAAATTCCTCATGGTTCTCACGCTTTTGTGTGCAGGACTCACAATTTCTTGTTATATCATGAAGCAGGTTAGTGATCTTCCCATTATCTTTTTTTGCACCATTTCATTTTCTTGGCTCTGCGAACAAGCGATCTGCCTGAAGGACTTAGCAGTGCGGATGCGGGAGCGCTACCCTACAGTGGGCCCAGTATTGAATCAGGGTTTTAATCTTGATGCAGCTTTCTGTCACTTCGTGACCGGTTGGTAGCAGATATCGCCCGTAGTCTCTTAAAATGACAGCTTAAACAGTTGCAGCGTTTTATTTTTTTCGATTCAATGAATGAGTACACACACTAATTCGGCCAATCTGCACCAATTTTTCATGTTTCCTATATTGTTTGCCTGTTCCTGCTGCCAACAAGAACGGTGGAAGGTGGAAATGAATCCTTGTTTTCATTGCATCCTGAGACGAGTGTCCATACATGCCTTTGGCAGTGATTCGACTTGGTTCTCTTGAACCTTTCGGCACTTGAGCCAGAAATGTGGAGCAGTTATTAAGATGTTCCTCCAGTATTGGCCTAATGATCACCCGCTCCTAATGGTTGCTGCTGTTTCCTCGTTCGTCTATAGTCCGGCGATCCCATCGTGAATCTTGCTCTTCGATTCCATTTTTAATTTCTGTGTTTTCTTGTCTACCCATGCGTACAAAACTGTGGCCTTGATGCGACTTAAGCCATTTCTCTGAGTGCAGCACCCAACGGCCTGTGCGAACATATTTTGTAATATCGTGAAACGTTCTCATACCTTGTAACATGTAAGCGGCTACAATGATAAACATCCCCAAACCACGTTACTTTCGTCAAGCAAAATCCTGTTTATAGAGCATTATCTAACAAGGCAGACCAAGTGAAGCGTCAAGGCCTGCCCATTACGTGCTTGTAGCAAAATTGTCATCGGATAAACAAACGGTGTCCTTCATACGGGACAGCGCTTCTTGGTACAAGTACCAGCTCGGAAGCTTGCTTCTTGCGAATGCTAGAGCTGTGATGTTGTCAGTGGAGGTTTTTTTGATAGTTTTTGTCCGGTATCTGAAAAGACCCTTATGCGAAAAGCAACTTGTTATAGTTCGTTCTCCATGCCATATATGTAACTTCTTCCTAGCGGGATCGCGGCGCTTTTGAAAGAAAACGAGGAGTGTTGGATTCGGACTTTGTCAAGTTGTCCTCATAATCGAATCAAATAAATAGAACACACACCATGTGCGCCAGAGTTTTGCGTCAGGAAGGCAGTTCTATTGGGGGAGCCCAAAGCAGGGTCAACCGTCCGTTGGACAAAGTCCAACGCATGGCTCTCTAGCGTGTGAGAGTAATGCCGAGAGTGAACGTACGCACGGAGACACAGACGGCTCGCGCAAGGCGAGTGCGAATGCCGGCGCGGAGAGCGGTCAACGTCGGTCCAACGTCGGTCCAATGTCGGTCCAACGTAACGGTTGACCCTGCACAGGCTGATGGTTCCATGGTGATGGGTAGCCGAGATTTTGAAAGACATTTAAATGCTAGGGTTGAAGGGGGAAACGCTAAGGGGTGAAGCTCCACGGGAGAGGTTATGTATTAGGGAGATAAGGGCTAGTTCAGAGTGCAGGTTTAATAATCAGGTTGAAGCACCCGACTAGAAGTCAAGGGAGTGCGCCTAATTCAATTTCGGTGGCGAACAGAAGCGACACTTTTAGCTTTCTCTCACACGTGCCTAATGTTGTGGTAATACCTCCAGTTTTTGTCGTGGGATTGCGTCAAGTTTTGATACATTTAAAGTAGGGTTCGACCGATCTGACGATGTGACTGATCCGACTGATGCAGGCGGATATCTTGCCATTTGACAAGGCCGTGGATTATTTCTTTCTTCATGGTAGTTTTGTCGAATATTTCAGTATGGAGAAGCCCAGATACATTCTGACGAGCCCGAAGAAAGTGTGCTAGCACACAGCACATCAGCATTCTTTACTGGAACGTTTGGAATGTGGAACATATACGTCTTGCTACTACTCGCCATGTATGCTCCTTCACATAAGTGCTACTCTGGTATGACAGGTGGGTGGCATAAATGAAAAATTTCATTGTTTCCATCAATGTCTAGAATTGTAAGATCATACATTACTGAATCTGAATGTGCCATCAGCAGCATAAAATGTGCTGCAAATGCAAGTAGTATCTTTTCATTGATGGGAAAAAGTGTTTTCGACAGACTATCTGCCTTTTTTAAGAGCTGGTTGACGAGAACGAGGATTTGATGGATGGCACTTACGAGGCGAATCCCATGACAACATTCTTGAAGCCTGCAACGGACTAGTGCATTTTCAGTGCTCTTCGTATTGCACCTAAAGGCGCATTTCCACCACTTAATTTTGCTAGATCTCACTCATTTCTTCACGCAGTTGTTGGATCCCTTGACACATTCTTCATGCATAGTAAGTCTTCTACATTGTTAGTGGCTCGGTTGAATCTCACTTTTTATTCTCAACATTTGATGGCTTATTGGTTTGTTTGTAGATTTTATTACTAGGAGCGCATGCATTTGATTGACATTTTGCTTCAATATTGAATATTTTGTACATAAAACTATTCAGATACAATTTTTTTTTTTTAATGGGACAAACATAATGCGATAGTAGAGTACGAACTGCTGTGCTGGTGATTTTGCAAATTGTCGCTTCTCTCTCAGTGCGAATTCATTTGCTTTGCAATGCAAATAGATTTTCTTTTCATGGGAGTCTATGGATAAAATGAGTGAGAGATCCCATGACTGTCTGTCAAATCCTCTGGATGGCAGCAGTTTTGTTAGTCCGCCGACCGCTAACTATGCCAAATAATTTTCTTTGCTGAAACGCTACGGTTTTGCAAGGTTGACATTAAAACTATGTTTTCGATGAAAAGGTCATCTATTCAATGCACTCTGCAGATGTTTTGTTATTGATCGGTGACATTTTGCAATGACGTTGAATTGCAAACGTTTACGAACACGTGGTGGCTCCATAATGGCTGTTCAAGTGCTGCCGGAAAACTTAAATTGCGCGCCACACATATTCCTCGGTTCCCATTTTTCTGTGGAATTGTCCAGTTGTTTTGTTTTAACTACCACGTAAGATGCCCCGGAAGCTGTGTGAACCGAGCTGCGCTCAACAGGCTGCCGCTCAATCATAAATCAGCCTACTGTGAAATAATTGCACTGTTTGTTCTCGTCCGCAAGAGCTATTCTGTCAAGTGTTGCCTTTGGCATATTTTCGTTCCCAATAATCCGTTTTGCTAGTTTTTCATCTTTCGTCTCTTCACCATTCAAATATCTTCTTTTTCATGTTGCAGTTCTATTGGGCTGATCCATAATTTCTGGCCGAATTTCGCCACTTTCATTTCAATTGAGTTTTTTCTTTCCTGGAGAATAACTGATCAACAATATAACCACCATCGCAATCGCTGATATGCATTCATTTGCTAGGCAGCGAATGGATGCATTCCTCTCAAAACGAGTGGAGCTATGGGATGAAGAGTTCGGAGAGGTCGTTTTTTGGGTGGTTGTATTCAGTGACCCCTTTCTCTCGAAGGTACTGCTTCAGGGCATCGAGAAGGGGATAGTGCGATGAAGTAATGTTAGGGCTATACGATAGAAGTGGTATCGCGATCCTGCCAGTTTCCTTCAGAAGGTGGCGAGTTATCTTCGCAATGTAAGGTCGGGCGTTCATCCGGAGGAAGGAGATTTTGAGACGTTTCGAATGGTTCTCTCGCACTGCTGCGGCCAACCTCGGGAGTTATTTCATGGTTATCTTCGCAGTGGTTGTCTATATAAGATGAAGCACTTCTCAAAGTGGAATACCCGACCAATCCTACAAATTGGGGGTAATATTCTCTGACGAGAGAGGTCAGCTTTTGGGTGAGATGGTGGGTTCAGGCTGCGAGATAGCCATAAGGCGTGCCGCGTGTTGTTGTCGTAGTGGACTGACCGACTCATCTCCACTGGTGACCGACTAGGGAAAGTCCAGGCTATGCCTACGCAGAATGAAATTTCTGCAGATGGTCAGGTCTGCTTCTCGGTCATTTTCAGAGATGCATGCCGTTCCCATCGAAACTTCATTCTGCTACAGCCCGTTTCATTCAGACAGCTTGCGGTGGTGCATCGGCTGTGCCCAGGTATCTGCTACAAATCTCAGGTGGTAGCGTCCGGGTGAACTTCCGATTCACAGCGCAATGGATCCTCATCGAAAGTGACTGGGGGCTTAGAATGAGGTGAAACTTCGGAGCTTGTATCGCCTTTGCCGATGCTTTCAGCCAATAGCCCAGTGCCAGCATCAGTTAGCAAATACTTGCCTACTGCACTCCTTGCAAGGTTCTTCTTTAAATGATCGTTAAGCATAATCGCCTGCTTTGGTCGTTGATCCATTTCGATCCCTACTTACTTATTCCACTGCCCTTTGACCTTCTGGAACATCCTAGTTTAAGGTACTGATGCCTCCTTCAACATACTAACTTATTTCGTAATGACACTAATTTGACATGAAGAAAATTGATTCTGAAAAAATCGGCCAGGAATTATGGATCAACCCAATATTTGTAAACAGTTCAAATTGATTTTACAGTAACCCAGCTGCTTCATTTCTGGAAATTCGCTGAAAATCGAATTTAAAGACTCGCTCTCCCTAGGTACATCCGATTTACTCACACTTCTATCCATCTTATCTATAGAAGAAATTGCAAGAATTTAACGCAACGCTGTTTCAGTCATTATAAACAGGAAGCGTTTGGTGCTTATCAATCCTTTTTGATGTCCGCCGCGATCTCCCTTCCATTCAGGAACGTTGTGGTGCATGAATGCAATTTGGTTTATGCAATAGCTTGCGGAGGGTACTTGAGGTTCAAGCCTGGGTTTCATGCTAACAAACATGTCTGGTTTCCAGTATCCGGTATGTAGGGATGAACGGCGTGATGCGCACTGTCGGGAATTCGATCCCCGGACCGTACGTCACCATCCATGCAATGGAGATGCTGTGAAATCCAATCAGGAGAAAGTGTTCGTAGAAACTCAACCTCGACCTGAGCCGGTTTTTTTGTGCTTGATGATAGAAGTGATCTACGCCGCACTCTTATGCGTTGGGTAATTGTTGGGAGTGAATTCATCTTACTTGAACGTCTGCGATTCTCTATCACCGGCGCTCATCCAGTAAGGGGGGCATCAAGTGGCTGCCCTCACCCCCCACCCCCTAGACTGCCTACACTCCCCCTGGCGCACAGGTTTCTCGAAGTACGGGACCCCGTGAGCCAGGGGGAGTGAAGGCAGTCTAGGGGGTGGGGGTGAGGGCAGCCACTTGACGTTGCATCACAATGCCCCCCCCCCTTACCGGATGAGCGCCCTATCACCTTCTAGAGTGTTTCATCGTTTATATGAATTTGGGTCTGCGATTCTGCACGAGCAGCGTTGCAGCAAAGCAGTAGACAGCGAGCAGACATAATATAACATTCTCACCAGTCTCACGTGACTCAGTTATTTTACACGGACGCGTCATCTCACCCCAGATGTCGATTCTTAGGCTGGCGAAACGCGACTGGTTAATAGCGTAACGATTCAAGCGTCTGAACTGGAGAACAAATGCCCGATATTCAGTAATTTAGTGAGAAACTTGCTTTTTTTTCTGCACTGGTCTCAGACGTCACTAGTAGAGTTTAGGGCGATCCACTGAGCAAGATTTCTTCAGTAAGCCGTTCACATACGTTCACTGGAGGAGCGAGCAGGTGAGCTGAGTGGGAATGAAATCGTATTTTTGAAATGAAAGTTGGTTGTTATGGCTAACGAAGTCTTTTGGAAGATACAGTTGTGAAATTTCTAGAACTTTGACGAAATTTAGAATCCTTGTATTCCCCATCATTTTATGTGAAGTAAAGTGTATGTATGGTTAGAATGTAGATGGGAACAGGATTTCGAGGCAGATGTGAATAGAGGCAGTCCAACTAGCCGTTCTAACCCCACAGGGAGTGGGGGAGGAAAGGGCAATATTAGTCGTGCGGCTAATCACATGTCAAACTTGCGGTTGCAATCCCAACGATTCGTGCGAACGGATTTTCGAAAATAGCGAGCGATTGATAGTGTGCCAATCATGATATTCTGGCCCATCACTGCAATCTCTGGCACACCCAGAATCGCTAGCCCATCGCCGCACCCTTAAAATCACCAACGGCATCGCGTGATTCGTTAGCGATTAATTGAAAAGTCCAACACCTACCTTATCTTTGCGTGGGAGATTCAAAATTACTTCGACTCGTGGCTCACCCTGCTCTGAGGTGGTGACCACTGTGGGAACCTTTTCGTTTTCTGTTCAAGTTATTTGAATGCGCTAAAGGTGTGTAGGTATGCACCAATCTTCTGTGATGATCGACTGTTCTCGAACCCCTGAATCACTTTTTTCAGCTAGAGTTGCCTAAACAAGAATTGGCTTAGAACTTGTGTGATCCTCCGTATAATCCCTTGTAGACATCAATAATTAATCGCTATTAGTCAAAGTGGTAACGTAAGACGAGCTCTGGAAAGCGCCCCTGCTTAGTGTTTGCTTCCTCCGCAATGGCCTCGAAATAATTGCTTTTGGATGCCTTTCGTCGCTTCTTCAGTGTCTACATTGCGATCGAATCGAAATTTTCGTTCGAAGCAATTTGCTTTTTTTCATGCACTGCGTACGGTCTGTCTATGAATGCAATAAAAACAAACCTGAATTGAATTAAATAAAAGTGGGGAGAATTCTCGGTGATCTATTCGTAAGCCATGCATGCTGCAGCCCTTCGGAATCGTCGAAGCTCCTTCGGAGCCCGCAAGATGATGTGATTCAAACAATTCGTATCTGTGCAGCTGCCCTTCAAATGAAGTTGATCTTCTGCATGGTGCGATGGGAACTATGAAGCCCATGTATGAACCTCTATTTGCCGGGCGCCAGGGAGCTTGCGGTTAACAAATCATTTTTTGTTCTCTTCAAATTGATTCAGTACGCTTCCGATATCTCCCATGATGGAGAGTGACGAAATAATTCAGCAAACACTGTGGTTCCGAGAAAGGCTACATTCACAGAGTTACGAAAAAACAAGAAATATTTTGATTCTTTCTTGTGGAAGTGATAATATTAGTTGATTTTGCATGGGAATCGTCAGACCTTTTTGCTAATTGTCGACTGTAGAATCCAGAGAAGAGTAAGAGTCGTTTCAGTTATCAGGAGGTCCAGGTCGCAGAAATTTTCATCGTCTGTCCTTTCTTGGAATTGTTCTCAGGGGAATCGTGCAAGATGGTATAATGAGGCAGAGCTAGTGTAGAAGTTGGTC